CTTCTGGACCTATGTGTTGCAGAAGATGAAGGACCGAGGCCAAAAGATCGAGAACCCGGAACAGTGGCCCAAGATTGCTACAGATGCGGCCTGGGAGTTTCTTCGGGATGAAGACATCTGCTCCTAGATTGAATATAGTTGCATGCATGTGCATGAACACGTTCCCCTCCAGCCGTTGGGGACCCGGTCATTAATTGATTCTTCCGTTCTAGCTAAGGCAAGAAATGGACGGATGCCGGCAAGGAGTGCTTTGAGTGCCCCAGAAAGAAGTCTCGCAAGCAAGTCGAGGCGTTTCTCAAGAAGCAGGGAGTGGCTACTGATTCCTAGAATCGAGTGGCTCATGTGAACGATGCAACTTCACGCTTTCAGCTGCGAGGGGATAGCATTACGGGGTCTAAATGGAACCTCTCGCTGACAAGGCTGATTTTGGTTGCTTGGCCCTTTGTTGCGGCCTCTTTTGAGATCTTGCAGCGGCCGGCTTGAACTGATCGATGCCCCTTCTGAGATCGGCTTCTACTATATAACCTTTATGTTGCTTGAATTTACAGTCTACATGGTACTGCCTCGATCATGATAGCAGGTCTGCTGGAGTCATCTGTTCATGCTCATCCATTTAGGATTGTGCTCCTTTGCGAGCTGTCTTGATCTACTTCGCGGTGGAAAAATCCTGAGATTCTCTTTGTTGCAACACATGTTACAATGGTCCTGCTGATGCTTCTGGCTGCCTCGAGAGTACGTGCTGGATTATGCGTGATTAATCAAGCCCACTTGCAGTCCTGAAAGCATACCGCCACTTGCGCAGGTCATGCATCGTCGTCGCCTTGGAGAACCAGATTGCTCTTCGAGCACATCGGATTCAGGTTACCGCCCCCTGTGCCAGTGCACCTTTTAGCTGCATGCGCTTCGGCTGTCTGCAGTGCTGTGCCGCAGGAATGCAAGATTGTGTGAGTTGCATGCACCATACCGATAGCAAGATATGCTTGCCTCTGATGATATCATCGATCAGCGTTTAGCTTTGGTCACAGCTTTAAGACACGAGCTGGCCACATGAAGCCAGAGCGCATGGTCCACGGCCTGCTCAAGTTGCAAGCCCCAAAGGCCGGATGATGTGGAAGGAATTAAGATTCAAAATATGCAATGAATGATTTCTGTTAGGATGTGCCAAAGAAAGTCGTGCTAAGGCCAATATAGAATGGATAATACTGGATTTTGGAAGCTTCGCAAAACCATTATCTCTGCAGGCTTTCATCCTGGCCCTCCTTTGCCTCCTGTTCAATGAACGATTCAACAGGGAGCAGGCCTGACTGTTGGAGTGTCGGTGTTGATTTGCAGTGAAAGTCCCATGGGGTCTCAAGTACGTCGCAGGTCTTTCCATTCATAGAGCACTATGCGGGTGAAGCTACGATGAGCAATGCTGTCCGGACAATGCATGGTTGTCCCGTTGCTTCAATGGACCTGAAATATGCTCGATCTATGGACGTGTCTACGCCGGCTGGGTTTGCGATCGGGACCCAGTGGATTGTGGAAGCAGTGTATGCTTTTCTATTAATCCATACACGACAGCTACAGCTCTAGTTCAATCTTGCATGGTTTTCCAAGTGAGCTGTGCCCAGGCTTCACCTCATGTCCGTCCTCAAGGGAGCCGAAGAAGGTTTTACTCTATGGCAAGGCATGCAATGTAGTTCTTGGGTTTCGATTGCGCGTGGTGTGACGATGAGATCTTATCTCAATCCCCTCGGCAACGAGTCCTTGGACAGCGTTGTCAAGGGTAACGGTATGCTGAGCAGGACAGCCCAGTAGTCAGTTTAGCCCAACAAACACAAGAATCCCCCAAGCTTCATATATGCACCTGCAAAGACTGAGTCGCTACGCTTGCTAGAAAGAATGTGCCTAGGTGTATTAAGAATAATCTCCTCCCCAAGCTTCCTATAGACCCACCGTCATGCTTAGCCGGCCTGCAAGGACGGTGCTGATTTCCTTGCTTTGCGCGTCCCTGGGAGCGGCTTGGGTTCTGGAGCAACCAGGGTCATCCCTTGCTGCCCGGCATCCACGATTTCAATGGCTTTGCAATATGCACGAGGTTCCGACTTTTGACAAATATCCCGCAGTGCTGCTTTGGTAAGATCATTTGAAGGGCACAGCTACAGCAACCAGTGATCGCAGGTCTACATCGTCAGATTCTGGATGATGCACTACTGTAGCGCCACTCCAAAAAGAACGATCTGTTGGTCCAATCGCCGATTTATTGGCAGGTTTCAGAGGGGCCCTCTGCTTCGCGCATTCAAAGAAGAGCAGCAGGCAAAGCGCAAAACCAAGCCGATTCAGCCGACTGTGAAGCGCAGCATCGACAAGCAAGGCAAACAATGCTTCACAGGAACTTCAAGCCTCAAAGAAACTCAGACCGGCCCTTAACTTTCAGTGCGCTGCATGATAAGCAAGCATGCCAAGGCCAGTATAAACCCTTCCTTGCAAAATACGCTTGCTCAGGACCTATACCATTGAGTTCGGGTGCCATATGTCAAAGCTGCTCCCGGCCTTCAACCAGTCCAGCCACACAGCCGCAATGACTTCCTGCTCAGAAGAGCAAGTGATTGCACTTCTGTGTAATTTGGAGATGGGAGATGATTGCTGGTCGGATGCAGGACTTCCAGATCTTTTGAAGTATGTCTATGGGGCGAAGGGGTTACGAATTCCCAGCAGGTGGCAGCCTTGTTTCCCTTCGGTACATTTCAATTAAAGCACCCGACAATGCGTAGTGGACTTTGCCGTGCTATGCCAATTAACTAGTCAACTCGTTGCGCAGCCGCGGTTGTACGGAAAAGTTGTAATGTTTATACGCGAGAGTGTATTCTGCATATACTATGTTTAATACGTGTGTGTGTGGCCTAGCGTGACCGCTTGACTTCGCCATGTCTGCATGCTGTAGCTCAGACTCAAAAGAGAACGCAGCAGGCACCGCCTCGGAGAACAAATCTTCGTCCATTTCCAGCGAAGTAGAAACCTACGTCGGGTTTCTGTGTGGGCACTGCGGGGTTGCTGGAGGCTATACAGAGCGCATGTAGACAACGTTTCCAGGTTTACACCGGATACTCGGCCTGGTCGTTGGGATGTGGTAGGGTTTGGCGGCTAGCGCCGGGTTCACTTCCCAATAATAATAGGGCAGGCTCGGGTTAGATTGACTCAAGCAAGCCTGAGCATGCGTGGGCTACATTGGCTGTATATACAAGAAGGATGGAATCAGTATATAGTACAGGTAGAACCGAGGCTCGTATAGTTGTATAGTTGTAATCCTGCAAATTCCCTGTTGCGTACTCAATCGATCATACTGATATATACTGATCATACTCTGCCCATATAGCACATGCCTTTGCATGACTATCTGACTATCTAATTTATCAGATGAAGTCTAGACATCCCTCCTGAACTTTCCAAGGAACAACCGATCCATCCAACCACATGACTTAAGCAATTGCGTAGTTTCTTAAGTTTTCAGCTACCTCGAGATTTGGGTTTCCACAAGATTGCTAGGTTTCCCTATACCACGTGTGCATATGGCAGAACCTGTTTCGCGAACCCTATAATTGCATGCTATTTATCATGTGAGATGCTCTCTGGCCTTATCGGGTGAAGGCTGCTATGACCCATACAGCTGCATAGTGGGATTGGGCTTGGGGTTGCCTTTCATTCTTCAAAGGACGACCTCATTTCAACTCCATGCAATATGTGCATGCATGCATGCATGCCTGTGTTCCGTGAACATGCATGCATGTAGTGTGCTCTCGGGTCAAAGTATAGGATCTCGCTCGATCGGATGGACCTGACCATTTGCTGGCCGTACACCAGCACGCTTAGCGCTCTTCTCTTGTGTAAGATAGTCCATGAGTAGGCAGGGCTAGTGCGAGGCTTCGCAAAAATAGATGATGCCAGGGCGGAGGCTGAATTTCCATAGAGTTGCTGCGTGTTTTTTCGTGTCGGGTAATTACGCAGTGGTGAGATGGATGGGATTGGCTAGGTAAGATGGGGCTTCTGTTGGGTTGGGATGACCAAACTAGCTGCGCAAATCTGTTGCCAGCCCAAAACCTGAATCCGGAATGTTGGGTCAGGGGCTGGGCTTTGCAGGCGCTGTCCTATACCGGTATTGATGGTTACTTGGGTTTTGGTGCCGGTTGCTGGATTTGCGGGGCTGCTGGCTGTTGTGGCTGCAGGGATCCTTCGGCAGGGGTGCGTGGGATCGCTAAATCGATGGTTTGCATGGGGTTCCGAGGGTTTAGGCTGCAAGATTTGGGGTTGTGAGGCTTGCGTGTTGAGTGCAGTAGCAGCTTTTCTAAGGGTTGCAGGGTTGACCTGTATGTTGTGCATGGTATGCAGGTTTGGGGTTGCAGGGTTTGGGGTGCGCGATTTGGGGTATGTAGTCTTTGCTGTTGCAGGATTCGAAGGTGTGCGTGGGCTGGTTTGCGTGATTGCAGGATTTGGGGTCTGCGGAGTTTCGGGTCTGGCGGCTTGCGTGGTTCGGGGTTTTGCGCGGTTTCGGGTTGCGACGTTTGCGGTTGCGTGGGTTGCGGGTTTGCGGTGTTGCGCAGCTTCGGGTTGCAAGCTTTGTGCTAGGTCCCTTGCATGTGATTTCTGCTAGTGCTAGCGATCGACTACGGCAGGGTGCCGGTTCTTGTTTTCCAGCGTTGGGCTTGCAGGGTTTTGCACCTTGCGTGATTTCGTGCGTTTCTTGTCCGTTCTTGCGTGATCCAGGGGCTTATGTGGGGCAACGAACTGCGAGGTGGCATTTTGCGCCATTTTGGGAAAACCGAAACAACCGAAAACATGCGTGCAACAACCGATTTTAGGCATGCAACTCACGAAAACTTGCGCGCAAACAACTGCTTTTACTTTGACCATACTTTTACGCTATGCTGCGTGGGTTTATCAGGTGCAGCCCCGATTTAGCCCGAAGGCTTCCGTGTACGCTTCGGCTAGCGTAGGATCCCTCCGGAGTTCTTTTGTGATTCATGGCTTTGCCGCCGTTGTCGCGAGATGTGCACTCGGCAGAGACCCTGGTGTCTGGGCTCTCATTTCTGATGCGCCAAGCATCGGCCGGTGATGTGACTGGCTTGGAGCTCATGGCTCAGGACAGATCGTGACTTTCATTCCATTACCATGATATGGGCAGCACATTCTGCAGGCTTGCAGGCATCTAGGCAGCATCCGGCGTGTTGCTAGTTTGCCGTGCAAGCCAAAGATCCGCTACACGTGCATGATATACACACTCTATGTAAGTTACTTGATTGTTTCTTTGCGTGCTTTTGCGCATGTGTCTCTATGGGGGTGCTCTTTGTTGGGGTCGGCACATACATATCATATGCGTAAAGTGTAGTCTAGCTACTAGATCGACCGCTGATGGCAAAACCCAACAGGAGCTTCAGAAAGCCCTGGATGTGTCCCGAGCTACGCCTGTGAAGCCTGAGCCAGCCGATGGCCGGCATGGTGCTCTTGTTCCCGTGCCTTGGTGGTACGACGTTGGTGGTATATGCTGCCCACATGACATATATACTAGCTAGTCACATCCCTCTAGCCCAAAAGCAATCCCAATTCAGGTGAAAACGGAAGCTGCTGACCACTGTGTGCTGGCGCCAACCACACCGACCCCTGTGGCTTCGCCTACCACTCCTGCGCATTCGCCTGACCCTGAAATTCAGGTATCTCGGTCCCATCTCACAAATGATCTCGCGTGCTTTCTTTGTAGCTTGCATCATGCAATATGATTCAATCTTCCCTTGCCTGGGAACCAAATCTGCTGTAGGATCCCGAAATATACTTTAGCGACCAAGTCCCGCAGCGTGAAGCACAATAGTCTCGCCGAGCCCCGCAAACCATGAAGCACTGAGTACAGAAAACCCCAGGTTTTGCTCTATAACGGATTGAACCCTGGATTCTACTTAAAGCTGCTTGGTTTTGTACTATAGGCACATGAGCTGCATTTTCCTTCGGTATGTAATTCCCCTGTAGCTGTGCATGAAGTTTCGGGAACCATTTATTGCACCGCATTTATGAGCAGTGCTTGCGTGAATCCACGTAACTTGTGATCACCTTTTAGTCGGGAAGCTAGTGGGCCTCTAATCCATAAGAAGTTCGATCTGGCAAGCGCATTCCTAGGCACTGAAGCAGCAGATGGAGGTTATGAAATCCGTCATCATGAAGCAGCAAGCAGCTCTGGAGGCAGGAAAGCCAACTTCGGCTCCCCCGGTGGCCGCTGTGAAAACAACTCCTGTTCCTTGCCAACCCATTAAGTCTCATGCGACCGATATCGATCGATAGTTTTGAAGAATCCAATAGGTCGATCGTGTAAACCCTAGTAAACCCTGAGCCCTCGATCGATCTGTGTTGCCCTATACACAACCCTGCCTACATAGGATAGCGTGTTTTACTGATATGCAAACACCCTCTAGCTGAACGAATAAAACCCTCGCGCCCAGGAACCCAAGAAGTTGCCAAAGCCTTCCAGTCCGGGCAAATCCTCCCCGAGTTCTACGCCTGCACCCGGTGCCGAGAAAGGTGCAGCGTCGCGCGGCGCGAAGAGGGCTCGGTCGCCTGAGTCAAAGGATTCAGACGACGAGGAGTATGAATACCCCAAGGTGTTGACCGCTGCCGCGTTGGACCGAAACGAGAAACTCAAGGTCAGGAGAATTTGCACACCGAAGCCGTGCAGCGGACATCTTGAAGTTCCCGAGAATATCTTCGAGATGTTTAACGATGCCGCAAAAGGTCGTACAACCCTGTACCAAATGTGGGCCAAAAGTGGAGGTGTCAAGGTGGGCCAGGAGAGTTCTTTCCCTGTCCTAATATGGTATTGATCTCCTAGAACCAGCAAATCTCCTAAAAAGTTTAGTCAGACATCAAAGGGAGTATTGCCGAGGCTGCTTTCCGACTTCCATGCACATGTGTACGATGCTGTAGAATCAATGTTGGGAAGCACAACTTTATGTCTCGGTGCGCGGTTTCTTGTTTCAAGGCCGTGTTCATGGAGTCCGTGACAGTCTTGTGTGTGACAACTCGAAAGAAGAAGCTCACCGTGAAGGGCGGTTTCTACTCTCGGGAAGACATGAAAACCGAGCTTGGCTACTCAGCGAACCTTGCATGAACTTAACTATCTCTAAAGTCTCGGTCCCTGAACCCAAAAAATTCCTGCAGATCCCTATGATGAAATATACGACAAGGCCGCAACCCCACCCGAATTCAGCTCAGGGCTCGGATCGAGAAGATCGTCAAATGGGCCGAGAGCAAGGGCTTGATTCGGCAGCCTGGCAGGAAACTGTTCCCAACACTCGAGAACTTGCCTTAGATGTTGTAAGGTTTTACAGCGCAGAGACCCTGAGGCCTTTTAGCTCCAAATCCTCTTTAATGTTACAGAACCTGAATTCGAAATAGGTTTAGGAGCTTCTTTTCTTGGTTGGTGGGGTTTTATGCCTAGTCCAAACCGAGTTGTTCGCACTATATAATGCTTAGCTGCTTGTGCCTTGAAGGAGTTTACAGCCATAGCTCCGAGGATCATGTTCTGAACTTTCTACTCGTGTATATAGATCAAGGTAGTTACCATGCAGCAATAGCTGTGCTTTTGTTGATAATCCTCGACTACATGCATTTTTAATGACTATACGAACCCCAACACTCTAGATCACTCTAGTTTTCTCTTACTTCCGGAGCTCGGTCTTGAAGATTACTCGGGCTTTTGAAATTTAAGGTTTCTAGATTGGAATCATGCATATATTGTATGTTGGATTAGTCGCACTGCTTAGAACCTGGGGCCCTGTGTTGCATGTGCATATAGTACGTACCCAAGGAAGCTATACAACAGAACCCCCTGCGAAGTTGACAAGGATCCTGAAACCCCGCTCTAAATCGTTCAGAATCTAGTATGTAGTGGCACCGATTGAGGCAGTGCGAATACGATGAGGATGTCCTGGAGTATTGGGTCAACATCAGGACGGAAGGAACCTTGTCCAAGGAAGACATGGAGAGCTTGACCCACGAGAAGAAGTATGAGGGCACCGGGGGAGACGAGTTGAACTTCACACCACGGGTTCAGCTCGACGGCTTTGACTTCGGTGCCGACGATCCTATGGTTCATCGTGGGGAACCATCTAAGGAAGGCGACGCACAGAAGCCTGCCTCTTGGAATCGCACAAGAATCGTCTGGACCAGCATCCGTCCTGTTATGATGCATGGTGCTTATACTTCTCTCCATGCAACTTTTTGTTGAGGTTTCTGCCGTGCTGACTGAGCATCTCAACGCTACGTTGAAAGCAAAGAACAGCCTTGGAAGCTTTCTCGACAAGATGAAAGCGGTAGCTGCGGGTGACAAAGACTGTGATGCGACACTTGTCTAAAAGAACGGAGGCCTAAACCTATAAACTATCATCCTGCACAAATCTTAAAGTACGATGTTGCCTCCACGATATCCGTGTAGCCTGAAGCTTCGCATCTTGACCTCAGGACCATCCGCAAACTCCAGGATATGCGCACGCAGTTTGAGTCGGTGTACGAAGAGATGGCTGATATCAAGGCTGAAGGCCAGATCAATGGCTTTTCGGAGAAGCTACTCAGCCGCTCAAGATTTGCGTGAAATTCTGAATTTCCTAATGCTAGAACAACTACGCGCTGCACCTATCAGTATCTGAGGATGACCAGCGAGTGTCACGAGCTCTTCAAGAAGGCTACAAAGCTGAACCTTGTCCTAGAATGAGTAAGGGGGCATGCATGCATGCATGTATCCTGATCGAAACACCGCACTCGAATGCTGCTTAGGATGAGCAAAGCCAGCACTTTGGAGGCCTCGAACAAGCAACCGGGACTGCATTTGTACGTAAGTGGGTCTTGCCGGGATATCTATCGACGCCTAAGCTCGCGCATTATAGCTTGACTGAGGCAGCAGCTGAGCAAGATGCGCAAGAAGGCCGCGAAGAAAAACCCCGACGACCAGTGATCTTGGCTGCGTGGGGCTGAAGCTAGGGGCTTTGCTTTCTTCCTTCATAGAAAGACGCGGTTTATGCTACCAGGTAGCTTCTGCGTTTGAAAGTGCATTTTGTGCGCTTAGATCGATGGAGTTCGTTATCGGACTCGTGTTCGCTGCCTTGTCAGAGGCTGTGCTGAGGATGGAACAACAGGAGTTCATTGCTAGTTGAGATTACAAACTTGCGAGGTCACCGGGTGCTCCGCAAAACTCGTGATTTACGTAGTATCTATAGACTGTACTCCAGCCAATGCGAGTTGATGGCACAGGCAGGTTTCTGGTCTCACCCTAGGAGGCTAATCATGCCTAATTCAGGGTAGCGGCAGGCAAACATCCATCGTTCAACCGTATGTTATTCCTCACCCTCTTTTTGGCTTAGGCCCAATCTAGTCCCTCGCCCCACTAGTCCGGTCACAAAGAATCAACATGTCGATCGATGGTTGAAACGTCTGCTGCTATGGGTACCGCGCAGCTCCGAGACTGTGCTCCTGATGACCGTTCGCGAAATCTTGCTGGGGTGTGAAAGACTGCAGCTTTTGCGTAATTCTCCGCTCTCGCCAGTAATCCTAAATTGAAATAGTCAGCATGGCCTGGATTGCCAAAGTGCCAACCTGAGACCTCCGTAGTGCGTGAGAACAATGTAAACCCGCAGTCCGAAAGCCAAAGCCCCAAAGAACTACAGACCAGAAGCCTCTAAACCCTGCTAGACCAATTAACCTGTGGACACGAAAACCCTGCTCCGATCGAACCCTATATCCTGACACTCGAAAACCCCTAAAAAACCTTAAGCCCAAAGCCCTATACTATAGAACCCGATCATCCGCCAACCTTTACACAAAAGCTAACTGGAAAGCATCACACCACGCAGGTTCAGAAGTTGACGACTACATCGGGGAGAATGTCTATGCCCTCGTGAGAAAGTACGGCAAAGGCGTCTGGGCCCCACAGACCGGACGTGAGTATGGAATCCTAGCTAGGTAGATCAAACGAATGTAGAGTTTAGAAAGCTGTCGTGAGTCCATGCTACATGATGCACAGGCTCTTGCGTGAATCTGGCTTCCTTGCTTGATGCCTGCCTACATGCACTCTTTTGCCGCCGTGGATCTCAATTTGCGTGCAGGTTTATGCATATACAGGTTGCAATTTTTTCGGTAAGAATGAACTTACTTCAAATGACGCAATCGGCATACTATCCAAGAGCTTTAGCGTAGAATGAGCTCGGCACGCTACAATGTTTTCCCATGGAGCGAGTCAGAAGAGGAAAATACCTCCAAGTCCTCGGAACCCAGCCCAGTTCCTTCAGTGACCAGGGCACCGTGCCCATTTCAATGTCCAGCCCAAACGCAGGAGCAGGGCAAGCCAGACCTGGATGTGCGGGTTATCGCTGAAGATTCAACTGCTGGGAGAATCCTTTGGCACTGCCTGGATACCGTGAGGGCTATTCAAAAGGAGAATGGTGGTCAGCAATTGTGCGTCTTCAAGATAGGGCTTACTGCCAACCCAACGAAACGGAGGGATAGTTACCGTCAGCAGCACTTCAAAAATTTCATCATCATCCACCAGACCTATCGCTCCGACTTTCTGGGTATGTTGGAAATGCTGCAAGCTGCTGTCATTGCCGAGTTCTACGACAGTGGTTGCCGATGCCGAAATCGACAACTGGGCGGTGAAAGTATGCGTGATAGAAACCAAGTGCCTCGTTTCCCGCCTCCATACTATGCGTACTGTGCAGCTACCAATGCTTCGCAGAAAGAACCCATTTTGGGTTAGTTGAGATTGGCAATGTTCGATCCATGTAGGGGCGGGGGTGCTGGGTGTGAAAGCACACTGAAAAGGCGGCACAAGTCGGGCTTCGTGCGTTGCGCAAAAAACGATCTTGCTCGCATGGATTTAGTCAGTTCTGTGAAGCTTACGCACTTCTGCAAGCATGATGATCGGTCGTTGCGTTGTATACAAGCTTTAGCTTTTACAATCCTCTGTCGGCCGAGGTCCCGGCGAAAGACATCGTCCTGGATGCCAGGACCGCTTCGAAGACGGACTCCTGCCGCGTGTTAGCAAGCATCGCGAGAGTGAAAGAGTCCAGCGCGGACGCTCCACTCTTCAAGATCTTCCGGAAGTACGTGTTGGCACTGCCGGCTCCTATCTCTCTTAAGAAGGTTGCGACCCTGGAACAGTATCCGTACTTGGACCCAAAACCTTTTCTTGAAACTTTGAGCGGGAATGGATATTTTCACAAAGTGCTTGGGGTGCCGGTCCAGTCAGCTGAAACATGTCTGTTGTCGTTTTGGGAGAAATTTCGAGCAGTGCATCCCAACCACGGGATTCTCTCGCAATACCTTCCTCTGGGCCACCTAATCCCGTACTACCTTCATGGAGACGGTGGTCGCGGTTACAAAAAAGATCCGATCGAAATCTTGTCAATGTTCCCTGCCCTTGGAGCAGGATCCAGATCCAACCGTGTAGATTTGAGTGGCAAGCGCAAGGCTGATGACCTGACTCTGGGCATCAATCTCCGGGGGAACTCCGGCACAACAAGGTTTCTGTTCGCAGTTCTCAGCAGCCTTGTCTACAAGCGCCATCCAGGTGCTCTCGATGCGCTTTTGGATTTGTGGGGTCAGAAGCTGCAAAGCCTTTTGAGCGACGGATTTCAGGCCATGGGGACTACGTGGTATATTGCCGTTATTGGCTTCACTGGTGATTCTCCGTTTGTCAAGAAAATCGGGCACATGACCCGAAGTTTTCACAACGTCCGCAAGCGAGCTGCGTCTAGGACTAAGACTGATCAAATTGGCTGCTGCTGGCTGTGCATGGCAGGAACGGAGACAGCAACCGAGAACTACCCCTTCGAACACATCGGATTCTTCGAGCCGCTTTGGTTACAGACACGAAGACAAAACAATCAAGTGCCCTGGCAGGGCAATGGTGGCCCATTGCTGCCGTACATGCAACTGGATCCTGACGATACTCCGTCAGCCTGGTTCAAAGCCGATCTGTTCCATGTGTTTCATGCCGGCGTCGGACAAGATTTTACTGCTTCTGCAATCACCTACAGCATGCGGATTCTGTTCAATCTCGGTGGCTTCGACCGAGACCTCGCAGCCTTGAATCAGCTCCTTGCGACCTTCATGACATCACAGAAGAAACGCTTGCACTGTGGGTTTTTGACGAAAGATCTGCTAGGTTACAGCTCCACTCGGGAGTTTCCTGAGGGCAAATGGTCCAAGAACAGTGATACTGCCGTGGTGATGCAGTTCTTGGTGTTTTTTTTGCAGCAGGAAGGCTTTGCGGGCAAAGTGAGAAGCGATCCAATCTTGGATGAAATCTTGCAGGCGGCTCTTGCGATGGGGCAAGCGATTCGCAAATCTTTCAAAGCCGATTACTGGATGTCGTCGGACGATTGCATCGAAATCATCAAGTCGCTCGGTATTGGCAGGATTTTGTGATTTCTAAGGGTTGGCCTCTGTCCTCATGTAGTACCAGCTCGATCGAATATATAATTGGTTATTGAAGTTTGTGTGGTTTTGTTTTACTTTAGCTTGGGGAAATCGAAATAATAAGGCAGGGCCACGCTTTCTTGTGCGGATATTCCAATCTTTCAAGCATGTGCTACGGCCAGAACCTCTGCCTCTTCAAGAACAGACCGAAAATTCACTATCTCAATCACATTTATTTACGCATCTTCGACGAGTGGACAGCTGCCGGGACAGCCGTCAACCCAATGGCCGAGGCCACCTTCATGTCGGAAGATTTCGTAGGGCATGCTGCCCGGATATCAAGGCGTGTGGATCCGAGGGCAATCGCGGTGAAGGTACTTCAGCGGTATTTGTGTTGGATTCAATCGGCTCTCGATAAGGATACTCTGCTGCTGCTGGACCTTTCCTGGCTGGAGTAGCTAGGACAAGTGTAACTCGAAAGCAATATCAACCTTTTTTTTGTTTGGAAGGGCTATTCAATAACAACGAAATCCTGACAAGAACCCTTACTTCCCAGGCTCGCTCCTCGAAGTGCACCGAAGCCGGCTCGCGGTGGCGGCAAAACGTGGGGCCAGACAGCTTTGTAAGGCTTTATGTGGTTTAGTTAGACTTCGGGGTTGATTCGATGCTGTTTGGGCTTTCCGAAGGCCATCGAGATTGAGCTTCAAGGTGTTTGAAATCCACTAATTGCACTAGTACGCCCAACGCAACCCCTGCAGTCACAATCCGGTAATTTTAGCCATCAACCCGACCAAACCCAAACGCACGAAATTCCAGGCCACGTGCGCTTTTCTTGAGGATTTCGGCTGCGGCTGTTTATTTCCAGGGGTTGGGCTTCACAGGTATACATATATACAGAAAGCGTCCAGAAAGCGTCTATATATACACACACATATAAGCCCCATATGCAGTATATAGTTATAATGCACAATATTCAATGTATAACATAAGTTCAGCCTGCCACTCCGGTCCCGCAGCCCAGCTCCAGGCCGCGCAGCCGCCTGCATCGCAAAATCCCAACTCGTCATACTATGTTATACTAGACTAGACCAGACTAAAGTATACTAGACTATACTCGATAAAACGAAAAATGACTACTGCACTGTACTATGCTACGACTCATTTGATCTCGCTCGGCTTGGCTCTCTGCAGCAGGAATCAGCTTTTCTCCCGGTGTTAGGAAGCTCCGCGCGGCTGGCTCAGATCTGCCTGACCTGAGTGGCCATGTCGTGCACGGCTGATGCAGTCTGCACTTGCAGCAACAAGTACCCACACGGTTGATGATATAACTGCTGCATTACCCGTAATAAGGAATATACCTATTTCCCTTAGTTTAGGGTTTTTAAGTAATGCATGATTCATATCATCAACAGTAGTCGTGGTCTCTCTCTTTCCTCGGTTGCCATGAATTTCCACGCATGACAGTCCACCTGTAGCCTTTGGTGGTGCCTGACACACATGCACGTGTGGGACGTCAGCAAGTCGTGCTTTTTGGTGCCGTCTCAGACGAGCCTCCTTCAAGTCTCGGCAAATCTCGCCAGGCTGCCTTTCAGCCCAGCAGATGGGACGCGCGGGCGTTCAAAGGCCCACTTCAAAGGTTTTGCGCCCCTGGAATGAGCTCCCCTTTGCCAAGGTTTCCTGGCATGCCAGACGTGTTCAAAAAGGCAGGGAAGACTTATTAGACTTCTAGACAATGCTTAAAGTATGATACCTACATGGACACTCAGGTCCATGACGACGACTGGGCAGCCTGTACACTTGTGTGCCCAGCAACGGTGCCGGCATCCGTGAAGAAACACTTTCATAAGCTGCCGTGGGCCACGAGGCCTTGAGCCTTAACAAAATTCTTCATGGTGCTGACACCGGGGGTGGAAGCTCGGTCGAATGCCTTCATGTATGCATGAAATCCCGTTGAGCTCTCCGCATGCAGCGCTCAAAGAGGGGCCCGACAGACCCTGGAAAATGAGCCGGGCAACCTCTGTTTCTGAGCACCCTTGATTTTCAAAACGGGTGGCTGAGAGGAAAACCAAAGCGTCTCGCCTGTCAGCCCTGCGTCATCAAAAATGTACGAGGGACTCGTTCACAGGGACTGTTCCGAGATCCGAACATCCCAGGGCACGATCGGGATCCTCGGATGGACCGGAGAAAGATGTTTGCAAGCAAATGTCTCTGCATTGAAAACCAACATGCAATAAGCTTAAGAGCAACTTCCACAATGCTCCGACATCGTCAGGACTTGCACTATACGTCCACAAGGCTTACAAATACTCAACTCCGAAAACCTAAACCCCCAAAAAGCCAGCCCTAAACCTCCAACTTCCTAAACCTCAAGCCCAAATTCTGCGAACCTTCACACACAAAACCCTAGACCCCAGACCGCCAACCCTAAATCCCCAACCCTCGACCCTGAAGCCCCGAACTCCAAGCCCGAAACCCCGGCACTAGTCTTTACAGTAACCCTAAAGTGATACTAACCTTAACGGATTCCTGAAGACTTCAAGAAGCCCTTAAAAGGAGCCCTTCAAGGAACCTTCAAGGAAGCCTAATATAGGCGCCTTCATAATTAGAATGGCCCATTATACTATAATTATCATCAGGGGAACCCCCAAAATAGTATTGGTAATTATTTAGGCCCCTACATTCAACCTCTGGAAACCCTGAGAGGCAGCTGAGTCTCCTTCTCGAGGCCCAAAAGGTATTTCAAGCTCCAGCCGGCCTCTTTGCGCTTCAGGATCAGGGTTTCAGGGTGTAGGGTTCAGACTGTTTGGGGGGGTTAGGGTTTAGGGTTTGGGGGTTCAGGGTTTAGGGTTTTTTGTCGCCGCTTTTCCACCTGCCTGGTTAGTCAGGGTTTAGGGTTTAGGTTTTAGACTGTTTGGAGGTTTAGGGTCAAGACTTTTTGGAGGTTGAGGGGTTGAAGGCTGTGTCTGAGTTTAGGGGTCATGGGTTTGGGGGTCCGGGGTCGCTTTGGGATTTTCAAGCTTAATGTAGGGGCCTTAATAATTAAGATAGGGTTTTGGGGGGTTCCTCATTATAAATATAGCATAATATACCCCCAAACCCTATTCTAATTATAAAGGCCGGTACATTTCGGGATTTGGGACCGGAGCCGAGAGGAGTGTAGGGCTTCTGGTGGCTTTTGGGGATGTTTGGGGTCGAATCCACAAGAAGTTGGGTGGTCTAGGCCTGCTTAGCGCTATTTTTTTTTCGGGGCTTGTGGGTACAGTTTCGGGCTTAGGGTTTTGAGTTTTGGACTTGGTTGGGGTGGTCATAGGGCTTCGTGAAGCTTTTTGTTTGCTCCCTTGTCCTTGAGGCTTGTATTGGGGCAGCATACAAACCCAATCTAAATCCGGCATGTACCACATCAACAGCCCTACCCTGAATCCGAAATTCAGAGGACCTTTGAGGATGTGGCAAGCTTCGTGCGGCCTCGAAGTTGGGGCCAAAGGGCATCTTCCATGTCCAGAAGAACGGCTCGATGCCGTCTGACCTTCTCGGGGCTAAAGGCATAAGCTTCAGGGTTTAAGGGTGGGTTCTCTGAGCAAAACAGCAACATTGACACAGAGCAGAGCAGTAACCCGACCCGGGATAGCTGCCTGACTGTGCAGGCCGGTGAGGTTGTGAATGAAGTGAAGTGAGCGTGAGAGTTATGCGCGCTGTGCGCGATGAATATGACAGTCTGACACATGAGTGCATGTACTTGCAATCGAAGCAGATGTCTCCCGCTTTGGTGCTGTTCGAGTTCTCTTGATGAGGTGTCCTCCCTGAGTGGCGACACCTCTCCTCCGATACGTGCGTTTTAGTCGAAGCGAGCCGCCCCAGCCAGACCGTGCAACTTTTCAAGCCAACGGTTCCATCGTATGCCGACGAAGAAGGGCAGATGGCTGCAATTCGGATCAGAATTTCGAGGCTTCTGTTGCGGGCTTGCGACATATTTAGACATGACCACATTTCGGCGGCTGTCATGCAATACATGTCACGCACAGTCAACAGACCTCGTTCAGAAAAAGGTCCTCATCAGCTGCTGGCTGCGAATTGGGGAATGTTCAGTACGTGCGAATAGCACATCTTGGAAATTTGGGTTTAGGGTTTAGGGTTTAGGGTTTGGGTTTTGGGTTTAGGGTTTAGGGTTTAGGGTTTAGGGTTTAGGGTTTAGGGTTTGGGTTTAGGGTTTTTGGGTTTTTGGGTTTTTGGGTTTAGGGTCATGCAAAGCAGTGGCAACTTTTCGCAGTGCGGCAGGCCAAGCGTTCCTCACTCGATGCCTGGTCAACCATTTCTCTTTATAGCTGTTTGCTGTTCAAGTGGCAACTGAATGCTATAAGAGTCAGTGTTATTATTTTTATCATTATAGTAATAGCAACAGTAATGATAATGATAATGACTACTAGTAATGGTAACAATAGTGGCAATAATACTGATAGTGTTGTTGTTGTTAAGATCTGCTATTCGTATGTTCATTGCTAACTTGTCTGTTTCATTACTGTGGCACTGGTCCCAGCTTTAAGGTTTCTGAGAGCAAACCCTCCGACACAGCAGTTCGAATGACAAGCCAAACTCCAGCTGCAGTGACGGTCCGTTTAGTCTTTGCATTCTCGAGGAGATGACACATCGCTAGAACGGGCCATGAATGATCCTTTGTAGTGGACCGTTGCCATTTTCGTCGTCACGATCTTGTGGCGCACAGTTCAGACAGCCGTGATAGTATGATTTCAATGCTACTATGATGGAAGCATATGACAGCAAACCCCACATCTGCTCTTAATCCGGTGCCCCTTACCTCTGAACCCTAAGCTCAGCTGCTGGCCGGAACGCGGTGACCTGCTCCTCCAGCAGTTGGTGGCTTGGGTTTTCGGCGGGTTCTGTGGCTTGTCCTCTTCGTTGGAGTAGGGATGCGGAGGCCCTGAACTCCTAAACTCAACTCTGAACCCTGGTCCCTAAACCCTAAACCCGAAACCCTGAACCCTGAACCCTAATCCCTAAACGCTAAACCCTGAACCCGAAGCCCTAAACCCTGAACCGCGGGTGACTCCTCGAGGAAGGCCCGCAAGATCTGGGACTCGCTGCAAGCATACCTGGCCTGATGAAACGTTCCTGCCGAAAACTCGGTGACTGCCACCAATCCTGCAGGGATAAGCAGTGGTACTCTGCGAAAAGTTTCCACATGATGGTCTATGAAGCATGTGATGGTCTACCAAACCTTGCATGCAAGTTGGTATATACGTACGTACGCAGGTACTTAAGTCGGTGCATATACGGGTCAAGGAAAAGTATGTCATAGCAAAACAGTCAGCCTACACTTACCCGAAACCCTAATCAGAAAACCCCCCTAAGCCCTAAACTCCTAAACCCTAAACCCCTAAACCCTAAACTCCTAAACTCCTAAACCCTAAACCCCCAAACCCTAAACCTCTAAACCCCAAAACTTCTAAACCCGAAGGGGTCCTTTGCCAAAGAGGTTCCGGAGCCTCTTAGAGGCTCCCTGAGCACAGCTGCTCAGCTTCCCTCGCACCTCCGAGAGCGGCGACGAGCAGCTGTAGGCGCCGCCTTCCACCTCGAGTCTATCTATCTATCTATCTATCTATCTATCTATCTATATCTACACCTACACCTACATCTACATTTACATCTACATTTACATCTATCTACATCTACATCTATCTATCTATCTATATCTTCATCTGCACCTACATCTACATCTACATATACATATATATATATATATATATACATATTATATTATATATATATGTATATAGGGTATGGCAGGGTATGGGGAGGGTGCCTAGGAAAGCAGTAACAGAGGTCAAGAACATTCAGGTTGAGGGCAGGAAAGTATGCGCAATGCGCAGTCGGGCAGCCGTGCGACCATCACAGACGCCATTACTCCACGCCACGTACCAGTGGACGTCTGCAATCGCCCACGTCTCTCGCTCTTCTTGTGAGAACGTCTTCAGGAACCATGGAACTGCTGAGTGCTCGAACTGTGAGAAAGCTGTCTCAATCCTCGGTAGCGCATCGGGCTTTTGAGCATCTGACTTCAAGTGCTTTCAACTGCCCTTCGAAAAAGGGCCCGGACCGCAACAGCAAAAAAACGGAACTGAAGAGGCGTCCCAGCATCAGGTTCACGTACAGCTTCATCCCCTGGGCGGGAAGCAGCGACTTGCGGAAGTCATCTGCGACCTCAGACAGCCAACTCAGAACGTCCTCCTCCTTCGCACAGGGTGGTCGACCCGCTAAACCCTAAACCCTAAACCCTAAACCGTTTGGGCCCTCTTTCCCGACCATCCCGGCTTTTCCCAGGAAGCCTTTTTTCAAACAGGATAACCCTGCCTTGGCAAAGTGGGTCCATGCGTTGCTATGGGCCGGTTCATTCCTGAGCTGCTGAGTTCATAAGCCTAAGAAAGTGTACGCTTGCTGGCTCATCAAGGTTCATGTTATCCCATAAAGCGTAAAGTGTACTCAAGGATCATGTTATCCCATAAAGTGTAAAGTGTACTCAACTACTAAGACTCATCAGCGTCAGGCCTTTGATTCCCATCTTGGCTTCAGGATCCAAGCTTTCAGACCACTGAAGCAGGGCCTTCACAATCCAGCGCCCCACCTGGGACGTTCACACAAAAAAGGGCACCCCAAGGCATGGCACCCTGAACTTTAATGGGTTTAGGGTTTAGGGTTTAGGGTTTAGGGTTTAGGGTTTAGGGTTTAGGGTCTCGGAAAATCCCCCACCTCTGTGAGCTCGATGGAAGGGCCGATCTTCGAGCGCTCCGTCCAGAAGACTGGTCGGTTCGGCCAGATCCCGTTGTAGGTGCCTTGCTGGGAGCCTCCCGGGAAGGAGTGGATGTCCAAAATCACGGACACGCCGTTTTGGGCCGCATGCCTTAGCTCCGGTGCAGAAAACGCTCCTTCCCAAAAGCCCCCAACGGGCGCATGACCACGTGACCGAGCACCAAGACATACCAAGCGCGGTGCCTCAAAAAGGCTGCGAGGTCGGCGCGGGGAATCGTGGCAAAGGCCGCCGAGTCCGGGTAGAAGGGGTCCGGCACCAAGGCCGTCTCCTCGACTCGAACTTCCGAGGCTCCATAGCCACACGGACACTCACAGACAATCTCTCAACTCTCCCTAACACTATATGGATACTACTACTACTACTACTACTACTACTACTACTGCCACCACCACGACCACCAAAAAATCTGCTGAGTTTCCGTGTCTGGGTTGTGCGCCGCATATAAGCTCGGGCTGAGAGGCGCCAGAGCATCGGCAAAGGCCGCCCAGGTGATTGGTAAGCGAATGGTGTCGATCCCATTTCGGATGATCTCTTGAAGCTCATCCTTCGTAAAGAACTCCTCCCGATGGGCCTTGAAAATCCTCGCTGTCTGCTTGCTTCCGAAGCTGGCGTTCAGTCGGGATGCTAGCCTCGGGTGCCCAGATCCTACACCAAGACCTTAACACGAAAACCTGTCCATGGCATACAAGCCCCCGAAACAAACTCATAAAGCTTGCAAGCTCAACTTCTAAGTAGCACCCCTTCGGAGGGCCAGGCCTCGTCGACCGATGGAGCAGGGGAGGCAAACACCTGCCCTGTCCCTGCGTCTCTGAACTCACCAGCTTCCCATGCGAGCCGGAGAAGAACCAATCTTCCAACACGAACCACCCGCCCAGATTCACGCCAGCCCCTTTGGGCATCGAGAACTCGAAAGACTCAGAGAGGCCCTGGGCTTCCTCGGCGTCACCCCGAAGTGCGCGAAGCTTCGCCCCACAAAGGAGGCCGATGGCGAGCAGAGCGAGCGCCAGCGCCGTGAGCCCGACCCGGACTGCTCCACGCTGGCATTGGCACCTGAAGATTTCTGGTTTAGGGTTTAGGGTTTAGGGTTTAGGATCTTCACCCCCGCTCCGGAGCCCTCCCCGAAGAGACTAGGCTGAACACGAACAAGAGCCGACGGGTTTCAAAATTTAGACCGCCAGAAAGCGTCGAAGAAACTGCAGACTGAAACCGTGCAATCCCACGTGTGTATATATATATATATCCAGAAAATAACGCACTCCATATATTTTTACATGTTATAAAGTTTTTATATATACGCAATTGTAGGCGTACAGAAAGAGGGAATGCCCCCAGAGTCGTGAAGGAGCCCCCACCTTGCAGCTCTCGGGGGTACGGCCTCTGGGTCCTCCTCGATGCTGAGGAGACCGGCCTCTCAGTCTCATCCCAAAAGGGTTGTAGTTGTACCATATAGCATAACTCTACTATACTATACCATGCCACCCTATACCATACCATGCTATATAGCATAACTCTACTATACTACACTATAACTATACCGTACTTTCTATCTGGTATAGTTATAGTATGCTACTATACTACATAGTATAGCTGTACTATACGATATAGTATGTTTATACTAGTACTATACTATGCAAAACTATACGACTATACGATACTATATAAGATGGTTTTACTTTACTGTATATAGCTATTGCTTGTATCGGGGGGTGTCATCGGGGCTGTTTGAGTAGGTTCGGTAGGGGGTTGTTGGCTTTTCTGTTTTAGGTGGCTTTAGTGTGGGCTGTAGGAGGGGTTTGGTGGTTCTTTTGTGCCTTTAATGGTTTTGGTGAGGTGTGAATGTTTGAGGTGGTTTAGGGGTTTGAAGATTGGGGGTGGGGGAGAGTGGTTTTGGGGCTTGAAGATTGGGCTTGAGCGTCTTTTTAAGCCTACAGAGGGTTTGGTCTAGGACTTGGATGCGGGTTCGAGATTTAAGGCCCCGGCCTCGCATTCATCGGGGTCTGCGGGCTGCGCCATCTTCAAACCTTCCCCAAGACAGAAAACAAAAAGGTTTGATCTCTGTGTTGCCTGTGAGCAAATCAAATGGCTGCGAGTGCGTGCTGAAAGTCAGTATAGTACTGACGGCAGTCATAACAGTGGCAGGAATGACAACCGTCACAACAATGACATTCATCGTGATAGAAAACAACAAAAGATACTGACGTAAGATGCTGATACTGGTAATGGCGACAATCCGGAAATTGTGGCTACAACGATACTTTTGGTATTCAGTATAGTATTGCTGGTAATACTCATGACAACGAGGACACGACTGACACTAACCAAAGCTAAAACTAGATACGGATGATGACGGTGAACCTGAAGCTTGACAAGCCTGTTGCTGGGACTCCTGCGACTTAGCGCATCTTGGATGGGGCCGGCAGAAGCCAAGCAGAAAGACCGCCTCATAAGAATAGAAGCAATAGCAATGGAAACATCAGCAAGCCAGTTCAAAGCAAGACTTTCGTAATCTGCCTGCAGTAGAATCACAAAACGGAGGGGGTGATCATCGTAAAGGTAACAATCTCAGTGGGCATCAAACAGCGACAGGAAGACCAGCTTGAATCTGCATGCTGTCCCATCACACCGACTGCCTCCCGGCAAGGTAAAGCTTCGAACGATGACCTAAGCATCGCTGGAGGTCAATATAAAACTTGGTTGTCTGGGGAATTCAAACGAATCGAGTGGCTCCTTTACTGCGAGAAGCAAGCCTGAACGCAGGACGCTGTGGCACATGTAAGCACCCGATATAGGCCCCGCGCCACTCTTGCTGCAAGACCAGATTTCTTCGACCGGCCCTGTGACCTCGGAAGCAAAGGCAAAACAGCCTAAGATCCATGCCTGGCAGTCCCCGGTATAGTAACTCATATCGTAACACTTGTAGTACCTCTTGCAATAGCCCTTAATCATAGTACCCCCTTACAGCAACCCTCGTAGTACCCCTTTGAAGTACTCCTTACAACCCCGCCGAATCTCATCTCCAGGCGCCCAGCGGGAGGACATCACGTCCTTGAAATGATGCACCGCTGGCGCATAAACCTCAGGGCTCACTCATCCGAGTCTTAGGCCCCCAAAGGCCTTTTGTAACCCGGAGCCCTAAACCTAAGCATCCCTAAACCTTAAGCCTAAGCATCCCTAAACCTTAAGCCTAAGCATCCCTAAACCTTAAGCCTAAGCATCCCTAAACCCTTAAGTCTAAGCATCCCTAAACCCTAAACCCTACCTTAGGTTCCTGAACCCTGAACACCAAACCTGACACCTTCAGTTCGATCACCCGACTCCTTCGCCCGCAAGCTTCAAGAACCTACCTTTGGTTAGTAGGGAATGGAAGAATGGTAGTAATAGTAGTAATAGTAGTTATAATTGAACCCTAAACCCTAAACCCTAAACCCTAAACCCTAAACCCTATCCATTCCCTACTAACCAAAGGTAAGAGAAACCGGGCCATCTCTGAGTCCCGGGGCTTTTTGCCACAAGGCTCTTGGGGTCGTCCAGCGTGCCTCGCTTCGGCGACAAGGCATTTCAGTGCGGGTTTAGAGTTTAGGGTTTAGGGTTTAGGGGTTTAGGGTTTAGGGTTTAGGGTTTAGGGTTCAGGGTTTAGGGTGTAGAGTTTAGGGTTTAGGGGCTTTGAGGTTCAAGGGGCCAGGTCCGAGATCCGAATCATACTTGCAAAAGAGTATAGTTTAGGATTTAGGGTTGAGGGTTTAGGGTTTAGGGTTTAGGGTATAGTATTTGCAATAAACAGCATAATCATCAAACTCATGACAAACCAAGAAAGAGCAGATGCTGATGATAATGCTGGCGTTTCGCGGATGGCAGGAGGCTCTGGCACTCTGCGGCCTTCCGTTTCCTCGGTTTCGGGCGTCGAAAAAGGGACCCCGGCCTGTCCCAGAACGTGCGAACTAGGGCCTAGGGACCTGGGATTCTAAACCTAAAACCCACATCCCTAGATTCTAAAACCCCTGAACCCTGACCCCTAAAACCCCCCAAACTCTAAATCCCCAATCCCTACACTCCAAACCCCTAAACCCTACAGTAAACGCCCCGAGCTCCAAATCCCCTAAACCCCCATCCCTGCACTCTAAAACTCCTCAACCCTACACGGCCCTACACCCTCGAACCGTCGTAAAAACCCTCGTCCAAAGCCCTAGGCTTCGAGCGCGGAGCGCGTCGGAAGGATGTCCTGAGCTCACGGAGGCGAAAAGCAGAACAGAAGGGGGCATTCATAAATAGAAGAGGGCGGCTCCTTTAAGGGTTCTTTTAAGGGTTCTTGGAGGGACACGAGGGATACGAGAAGGGTTCTATGATGGGGGGTCTTAAGACTTAGAGTGGGTTTTGGGAGTGTCTTCTATCATAAGAGCAGAAGGACTAAACGAGGTTATGAGTTCTTCCAGCATACGGTTTAGGACTTGAGGCATTTGGAGTTTAGGGCTTGAAGGTTGCTTACAAAATTCAGCCTCGGGAGTCGTTTCCTTTGTTCCCTGGAAGTGACTGTCATCAACTTTCTCATACAATGGATATGTCTGCCAGCTGCAAACGAACCCATGTCTTCGCTCATAAATAAATGTCAATGAACGTGTAGCACTCTGCAGACCTGTGAAGCCCGGTCAATGCCATAATCTCAAATGCAAAAAAATACAAACTGTAGCAGTCTGTGAGAGGGAGACTGTTGGCCGACTGTGGCTCACACCTCCGCTCTTGACGGAGCCATCGATCCCCTCCAAAATGTTAGCCTCAGATCCGAGACACAGAGGGTTTAGGGTTTAGGGGAGGGGCTTAGGGTTTAGGGACAGGTACAGCAAGATGGCAGGGCCAGGATGACAAGGACTTCTTCGGCCAAGCTGCGGCAGATGCTGGGGCACCAAACGGGTTACCTCCAGCTTCCCACTGCCATGCTTGCTTTGGTGAACGCAACACAGCATGGCTCAATGACTGCGTGGGATAAGATGTGCCTTCAGCTATGCTTCGTGCAACTACTCGCTGTAGTTGATCGCCAAGAGCTCCGAACAGGAGCGTCACAAGGCCTGCCTGCAACAGAGCACCGAGGAACACACAAGTGCCTCGCCTTAAGGTACCGGCTTGATGAATGGCTCACCACAACAAAAGCACCTAGCAGCCTTAAACCAATCCCCACACTACCAGCCCCTTGCCTTCCCTGCCCTTAAACCCTAAACCCTAAACCCCAAGCCCCAAACCCCGAACCCTAAACCCTAAACCCCAAATTAACCCTAAACCCTAAACCCTAAACTCCTCAACTAAACCCCGCTGCCTGCTCCACTGAGGCCAAGGTCAAGAGCACGGCCACGGCGTCCGCCGGAACACCGGTGAGGTCACCTGGGTTTAGGGTATAGGGCCTTTTAGGGGATTTGACCTTTAAGTTACCATAATAAGGAATGGTAATTATGTACTTTAAGGTTTTTGAGGGATGTGATTTAAGTCACCATGATAAGGAAACCACATTAATGTGTTACTATAGATCCCTACTATGGTAACTTAAATAAAACTCCGTAATAAGAGCCCAGTCACGGCACTCCGACAGCAGCCGACAGGCCTGGCGGCGAGAATCACTGTCTCTGGGGCTCTAACTTAGTGTGATACACTATTTATATATATATATATATATGTATGATAACTACTATGATATACTCTGATATGCTGTAACTGTCGTATAGTATACTATAGTATGATATAGTAGTTATAAAATACAATATACACTAGTACGACATGATTACAAAACAATATAATCTAGCATAATATGAAATGTTGACAACATGATGACCATAACCTCATACCCTAAGCCCCTAAGCCACGATATCCCGATCTCCAAACCTCAAACCTTTTCTTTCCGGAAAAGGCATTGTTTAGGGGGCTCTACACCGTAATCCTTGAACCCAGCCCCTACGCCCCGTACCCAAGCCATAAACCCCAACCCTTACTACCCAAAGCCGTAAACCCCTAATCCTAACCCGAATTCCGAAACTGCTACACGGCAATTCGCAAACCCTTAATCCGCATCCGTGGGGAAGATCGTTGAACACCTCTTGGTGATCTAGTATACCACGGTATCTTGAAATAACTTATATATAGTATAGGTACAATGTTTTTAATGTCTTGTAATATAGTATACTCGAGCACAAGAGGGTACCTAGTGTTCTCTCCCTGGGCCGCCACATGGCACCGCTGAGTTTCTGAAAGCTGTAGTGTTCGAGCATGCCCGACAATCAAGAACCCTGTAACAAGTCACATTACAATGCATGTTCAGGCTTCTCTCCGTGTTTCCACTTTTACCTTGCCTGTTTGCTCCATCTACTTTTTTATTGTTTCTCGACTTATACTGATTTGCTTCCCTGCCTGCACTACGAGTATTTGTTCATGCTTACTGATGTATATATATATATATATACATACTCATGTTTCTTGTTCCTTCTTCAGATAGATATAGACCTGTGGATAGATGTTATTCGCTGAACCCCCAAAAGCGTTCAAACGCCTTGAAGAACAATTACAAGTAGGAGTTTTCCGCTGTAGTCCCTAAATAGCTATATTCTAACACACGCCAAACCTCCTCACCAAAACGCTCAATCACTAGTAAAATTGTTCCCTGACAGTCCCTTATTTAATTACGTTTTAATATACCTCAAAGCCCTGTTCTGATTCCCTGATAATGATCACCGCTGATTTAAAATCCGCGTACCCCCAAATCCTATTTTTTTACCGAGCCTGCTGCCAAGACCCGGCCAGGGCACAGGCCCCCAGGGCGGCTCCAACAGCCTCGCTGCAAGGAGGGCTTCAAAATCTAAAAACTAGCAATCAGAGGGGTGCAAAACGAAAGGTGCATTTTATCTGCAATCTGTAGGCTTTCGGATTGAGGCCTTGGTACTTGGGTTTTAGAACTCAGGGTTTTGTAGACTCGGGGTTTCCGGCTTAAGGGCTTTAGAACAGCGCCTGCGCAAGGGATCGAGGTGGGAGGCTGCTGCAGTCAACAGATCGGTGGTCCCTTCACTTGTGGATTCACAGGGAACGGGATTAAGGACGGGGATCTGCACTGTGACTCCGATATATTTTCGTATATTATAGTATATCAAAGTACATTATAATGTATCATAGTAGTAGTATATTATAGTGTATCATACCTATAAGGAAACAGCTCCGACCCTCGCCCCTACCGCGAGAACCTTGGAGATCTCCGCCCAAGAAAGGCACTGTTCCAGCTTCCCTTTGTGATCCCTGCTGTGCCTTCAAGTCCGGCTTCAGGCCGACTTTAAACCTCAAAGCTGTTCTTGAAGATTCATGGGTAGTAGGGTTTAGGGTTGGGTTTAGGGTTTAGGGTTTAGGGTTTAGGGTTTAGGGTTTAGGGTTTAGGGTTTAGGGTTTAGGGTTTAGGGTAGGGATGTTATGCGCAGGGCTACTGTAAGCAAGGTACCTCAAGATCTCGCAAGTACTTATGTATAACCCCCAGCAAAGCGCGTGAAACCCTGCACATAACTTCTACTTATACCTGCATCCTAGCTGCACATTACCTTGGGGCACATAAATCCCTTGTTGCTCAGGCGTTCAGGGCAGCCAAGCTCAGGCTTCCAAAACACGTGTGAGCTGCTGAACGTCTACGCCAAGCTGGAGCACACGCAGTGGCACATAGCTCCCAAGCTGACTGCAGAGCACTAACAAAAAAGGGCAAAACAGGCAACTGCAGCTACTGTCACGGGAGTTTTCCATGTTCCCTTCAGAACGTATACCCAAGCCCTCGGTTCCCAGCATCTCATCCAGCAGCAACAGCGCATCCTCCCATCGCCTTGCCTGCGACAGGCAGGGAACACACTTACGCACCTACGTACTTACTTACTGACTTGCTTGCTTGCTTCCTTACTTACTTGCTTGCTTGCTTCCTTACTTACTTACTTACTTGCTTGCTTGCTTCCTTCCTTACTTACTTGCTTGCTTGCTTGCTTCCTTACTTACTTACTTACTTACTTACTTACTTGCTTGCTTGCTTGCTTGCTTGCTTCCTTACTTACTTACTTACTTACTTGCTTGCTTGCTTGCTTCCTTACATGGAAAAGCCGCGTATCCGGGATGGTCTTTTAGAATCATCCCAAAACCCAGTCCCCTGCGTGTCGTTCCTGGTCAGAGCCGCACCTGCTGCAGACTGAGAAGCCCCTCCGAGTACGAGGTCAGGGAAGCCAGCGAGAGCCGACCTTCACAGAAGACGCAGACACCTTCGGAGCCTCCCTCGGCCAAACTAGCTGGTATCCATTGCCATTGATACCTATATGTCCATACGTGCATAATCATATACAGACATCACATCTATGCGTGCATGCATGCATGCATACATACATATATACATACATGTAGATGTATATGTGTATCTACACATACACCTATATATACACACATGCGTGCGTGTTGGCTTATATAGATACGACTGTAAGAGTACATGTGTGCACCTGTATATATATATATATATACATATACAGTTATCTATGTGTTTGTTGAATTATGTATTTGTATGTGCGTGTGTGTGTGTGTGTAAATTTTAATGTGCTTGTGTGTATGTATACATATATATATATATATGTATGCATGCATGCATGTATGTATGTATGTATGTATGTATGTATATACATACACACACACACAAGTGTATGTGCGTGTAGCAGTATCACGGTAGCACGACTACGGCACGCCACGCCTCCGAATCTCTGGGATCCGAGCGCATGTCCGCGAAGAGGGTCAAGGCTCGAGGCCACTGCTCGCCACGAAGACAGGCAGCCATGGCCTCGGGCTCTGAGAGCTCCGGGATGCTGCTTTTGCGGAGCAGTTCAGGCTTAAGGGTTCAGGGTTTGGGGCTCGATGTTTAGAGTTTTTCGGGTTGAGGTCTTCGGAGCTTCGGATCCAGATCTGCATTTACGCCATCAGATTCCTACATCCTCACGACTCGGTGGGCCACTGCATTGATCGTGGTGCCGTCAGGGCGAAGGCGGTGTCGACGAGCTGCCTTGCCAAGAGTTGGAATCTCAAAGTTGGGTTTAGGAAACCGGCTTTAGGATTCATCATGCCGGGCTGTAGGGTTTAGGGTTTAGGGTTTAGGGGAGTATGGCTTCAAATTTGAGGGTTCGGCGCTGCAACACGATCACGCCTTCAGCGGCGCCTGCTTTTGACCGCCACGCGCTGCCCCTCCTACGGCAGCAAGGGCGCCTGGTGCAGAATCCAAAGCGCTCCGGGCCAGTGGCGGCCTCAACGGGATCTTGTCTTGGGCCGCTTCAGAAGGCCCACTTCCGCGAACTCAAAGCTCTTTTATATCATATCATATCATCTTATATTGTATTATCTTGTACTGTATCACTATCATATTATATACTGTATCATGTTATATCATATTCTAAACCCCCCGGCCTTTTTCGCAAGCGCTGGCAACCTCAGGACTTTCGAGCTCGAGCAGCAGTCGGACTTCTTCTTCTACTAACTGACATAGTGAAATTATGTATATCGTAATATATTTTAAAGTATACAGTTATAGTATATCATAGTATCGCATTATAGATTACTGTAGTAGCAATACTCCTTCTATCCCCCACAGAGACTTGCAGTAGCACGTAGGCCAAGATAAACCCTGTTCAATTTTGGGACCTCACGAGATTCGCAGGGACGATTGCTCTCAACTGTCCCCTAAATCCCGTATAGTTGCCATTCTATAGACCCTTACAGTACCCTCACAATGACGACAGGGCCCTGGCCGCATTCAGCAACACCACATTGGGTTTCACCTTTGCCTCCTGGCTCGTGTGGTGAAAGGGCATCTGGAAAGGTTACCAGGAGGAGCACGTATATTGTAGTATATTGTAGTATATTGTTATAGTATATTGTAGTATATTGTAGTATATTGTAGTATATTGTTATAGTATATTGTCGTATATTATTTTATGGTACCATAAGGGCTTAGGGTTTCTGACGACAGCGTGCCCAGGCTATGAGGCTACTAACCTGGGGTCGAAGGCTTGGGTCCCTGAGCCCAAGACCCCAAAAACCCCGAAAGCCCTGAACCCTAAACCCTAAACCCTAAACCCTAAACCCTAAACCCTGAACCCTAAACCCAATGAGCTCTCTGTGGGCGTGTCTTCTTGGACCGTCCGACAACTCGGCCACGGAACCCGCTCCAGTCTCAAGGGACTGCTCGAAAGGCAGAAGGGCCCCAGGCTTCAGGATTCTGCAGGGATGAAGGTCTCCGGAAACCAACAAACCGAGCTTTCCTCTTCGAGATCTAGGCTTCCTGAAAGGCAGGGCTCATATATACTATTTAATAGACTAGTATATACTTTGTAATAACCATAGTATATATGACCTACTATAATAAACAACAGTAAAGACAGAAAGATGCAGGCCTGCAGCCGGACCTCCAGGATGTAGAGGGCCTCTTCCCACAGACCACCCTTCTCACACCTCGGGCCAACTTCACGGCGACTGGTTTGGGAACACCCTTCAGCATGTAGTACGGGTATACCAGGCCTCGATATCCGGGTCTTCCTGGCCCTAAACCCACAAACAACCCCAAACCCCGAAAAAGAATCCCTCTAAGGAGACTCCTTCAAACTCACAAGATGCAGGCGAAGGGCGCCGTCAGCGCTGCGCCAAAGCTGACGATGTCTGGCTGAAGGTCCGTCGCCTGCCCATGGAATACCCTGTTCCGGTGAGGGCTCATATATACTCTTATAATAGACTAATATATACCACAATAACCATAGTATATATATATATATATGACCTACTATAATAAACTATAGTATACTTCTTATATGAAGGCATCATTATCTCTGCTGCATCCTCGGGAGGCTCCGGATGGATGCATGCTTACATCTGCGCCTGAATCTCATCGAAGAGCTGCAGGGCCTCTCTGATATGCCGGCCCTGCCAGAGAGCAAGGATGTTGCCGCGATTCCTTCGTCAACTGAACCCGCAAGCTTACAGTCTCGGATTTAGTGTCTTGCTCCGTCGTTCAGGGTTCTTGCGAGCTTACCCGGTTACGGCACTGGGTTCTTGTTCAGGGCGTTGATTTAAGCTACCATAACACAGAAACCATATTATTTACTATAGAACCCAGTATACCCTCAACGAGAACTTTGCAAGTGGCAGCTGAAGCTATGATGAATTGCTCTTGCTGTCTCACCCCGGAAGCAAAAAGCACCGAGAGTTTAGGGCTCGCCCAAAACCCCTAGACCTTAAAGCCCCAAACCCTACACCCGAAGCTCCGAACTTCAATCCCCCCAACCGCAACCCTCAAATCCTCAAATCTTGAACCCCCCTAGCCCTAAAGCCCTAAACCCTAAAGCCCAAAGCCCCTAAGCCCTAAAGCCCTAAAACCCTAAAGCCCTAAACCCCAAAACCCTAAAGCCCTAAAGCCCCAAAGCCCTAAACCCCAAAACCTCAAAACCCTAAAGCCCTAAAGCCCCAAAGCCCTAAAGCCCTAAACCCCAAAACCCTAAAGCCCTAAACCCCAAACCCCAAAACCCTAAACCCTTGGGGTTTAAAGCCTTAAAGCCCTAAACCCCAAAGCCCTATAGAGGGTTTAGGGTTTCAAGCCCCAAACCCTAAGCTTTAAGCCCTAAACCCTCCCTAAACCCTAAGTCCTAAACCCCAAAACCCAAAGCCCCAAAGCGTCTCAGGCTTTCCGGAGGCTTCGGATTGGGCCTTGGCACAGGACGTCATCGCCGCGTTGAAGGCGACAAGGCCGGCGCCCTTTCCTGGGTTGCTGCTGTTTGAGGAACTTAAGTTAGGGTTTAGGGTTTAGGGCTTAGGGCTTAGGGTTTAGGGTCTAGGATAAACTATACAAAGCAAAACTCCTACCATTTACTATATATCACCATGAAGGAAGCTTAAATTAAGAAATTATAACAAGGAAACCCTATTGATTTACCATACATCCCCATGATGCTAACTTAAATGAAGTTCCTGAACAGCAACCCAGCTTCGCTGGCGGAGCTCATGCAGGAGGCCCAAAGCCTGGTGAAAAGGGTCTTTTGGGACCTTTATTCAAGGTTGTAGGGTTTAGGGTTTAGGGTTTAGGGATTAGGGTCTTGTACTACATATACGGGTTTGTTAAAGGGTTCCCTCCTGGTAAGGCTGTTGATTCAGGGCTTTGCATGGGGAGTTTGTCTAAGACGCCATGCGCAGGACGGGGCCCATCCAATGTCGAGCCTTGCAACAACGGAAGACTTCGGCTTGAAGCGTTCAGCTACCAGGCTGGCGATGCGTCAACTGCGACAGGTACCGAAGCCTCATCATCTTGGGATGCTGGGGCCAGCACGTGCCGCCACATGATACTCGAACCGCAGGAACTGATTGCAGCCTCGTCCAAAGCCAAAGTCTCGATTGCAGGAAAGTCAAAAATGTGCAACAACATGTTTATCTTGACAGCTCCTCGGAAAGAATTACTACCCGGCCCCACTAAGACCCCGAGCTTCGCCGAGGCCCTAGCATTGTAAGCCACATTGCTCGGCGCATGCGCCTGAGCGTTGCATGGCGGAGCTGAACCCAGGATCAAGGTTTCATGGACTTAGGATCTAAAGGCTACCTTTGGGGTTTCTGGTTTGGGGGGTTTGCAGTGCTGCGCCGTCTGGATTTCTAGGGCCACTCGACCCCCACCTGTCAAGCCCGGATTGTTACGTTCATGGTATACGTATCATGTTGGACTTGTGGTCGGGACGTAAAGCTTACCAAGCAGGGGCAAGCTGTTCGGGGGCGGGAGAGGAGGCAGACAGTGGCGCATGCCCCCCCCCACGGGCCCGGCACCAGGCATCATGAGCATCATCGGAGTCCCGTTTCTCCTAAAGGACGAAACCCGTCATGGCCGGTGGATTGGCTCGAAAACGGAGCGTGTTGTGGGCCCCCCCCACACCCCCTCAAGCTGTTCAGCAAAGGTGGGTCTCAAACGAAAGCACTCACGGAGGGTGGTCCCCCCCCCCTCCAGGACCTACCTCCAAACCTGTTTGTCTACATACAGGATACCACACTTCAGTACCCATGCACACACACATGCGCACACATGCACACACATGCAAACACATGCAACATGGATTAGGGTATCTGAAGATTAGTGTATACGAACATGACTACACTAGAGGCCCGGCTGCATTACAACCAGCTTTAAAAAACTAAAATTTAATGCAGCCCAGCCCGTGGAACCAAGAACCAAGAACCAAGAAGCCCAGGACTCTTGAATCTTGGATCTTGG